GCAAAGAGACCCATCTTGATAATTAATTTTGAACTTCATTTGCTGCACTAATTTTAGAGCAAATCTAAGCCTTAATCCCAGACTTTCATGTTTGCTGGCTCCCAGCACACCTAATGTTCTGGGCACTGTGTGGGGGCAAACAGGAGAGCAGAGCCTGACTCACCCCCTCAGCGGCATCGATGAAAAGGACCACTCCATCTGAGATGCGCAAGCCAGCTGTGACCTCATCAGAAAAATTCACATGTCCTGAAAAGCAAATATTAAGTAAGTCACCAAATGGTGAGTGAGGAGGCACAATTAACTTGTTGTGTGCTCTAAGGAGCACTTTGAAGCTTATAAACTCACAAACATCTGCTTTCACTTCTTTTCACAACTCCTTGGGCAGTGTACAAATTTCTTCCATTAGTCACATCCTTGGATTCATCATTTATTTATTTGTTTATTTTGCAGTACTGGGGATTGAACCCAGGATCACTGTACCACTGAACTACACTGTAGCCCTTTTTACTTTGAGCAGGGTCTCAGTAAGTTGCTGAGGCTGGTTTCAAACTCGTGATCCTCCTGCCTCAATACCCCCTACCACCAGATGCTGGAATAATGTAGGTGTGTGCCACTATGCCCAGGCGGATTAATATTTTATACAGGAGGCCCCCATATATAAGAGATAGACAGTTTTACCTAGGAGGGCATAGTGAGCTTACCCTGACATACCAGCTTACTCTGTAAGCAGAGTTCTGTGGGACCTAAGACAATCTGGAGGAGGGAGAAAGGGCAAAGGGATGTGGAGTGCTGCTCAAGAAGTCAGTTTCCTGTTAAGATGCTGCTGAGGGGAGAGGTAGTGTTCTGTAGAAGCTGAGGGTATCAGGGCACTAGGTACCTGATAGTGTAATGAAAGCAAATCTACCAAAATGTAAAGTTCTAATTTTTGTCCTCTTTTTTGCAGTGCTGAGAATTGAACTTAGGGTCTTGCATATGTTAGGTGCCTTAAAGCTATATCCCCAGCCCCAAAAATACTCTGCCCCAAGTCAGTCCTTTCTTCTCTATCTTCTTTTTTGGCAATACCAGGGATGGCAACAAGTCAGTCCTTTCCACAAGAGTCAGCTGCAAGGCAAGGTGCACTGCTCCCACAGTTATCTCCATGTCCACTGGTCTCCTTCAAAACACTGAGAATGCCAGAGGCCAGAGACAAGGTCTAACTAACCTTTACTTCTCCAGGGGCAAGCCTGAGGCCTGATATAGGCTGAAGTGAATAAATACATAAGGTTCCCTAAAATTAAAGTATTCTAGAGGAAAGTAAAGACAAGCATAAAGCACAGTGTTTGCTAATTAGTAAGAAGCAAAGAAGATTCTGAAAAATGAAAACTACCTCAATAAAGAATGAAAGTATGAAAGGAAGATAAAAACAAAAATGTGCTACTTCACATTGCTCTGGAAGCAGGAGCATAGAGCCCAAACCAGGACAAGTTTCAACCACACAGAGTAAGGGAATATTTCACCTGGCGTGTCCATGATATTGAAGAGGTAAGATTTTCCTTTGGTATCTGGCAGGACCACAGTCACAGGAGTGCTCTTGATGCCAACACCTCTCTGAAAGTCACAAGAGACAGTGGTCAGGACTTCTTGCTTTGCTGGAAGGGTGCAGTATAGCAAATTACAATGATGTCTCTCTTTATAGTGGGTATAATTTTTATTTCTGGTTCTAACCAAATTGACCTTGAAGATGAAACATATTTTTTGGTACTAGGGATCTAATCCAGGGTGCTTTACCACTGAGCCACATCCCCAATCCTTTTTATTTATTTTTATTTTTTTAAAATATATTTATTTGTAGGTGTAGATGGACACAACATAATACCTTTATTTATTTATTTTTTTATGTGGTGCTAAGGATCGAACCAGGGTCGTCCCCCCGACCCCACCCCGTGCTAGGCAAGCGCTCTACCGCTGAGCCACAATCCCAGCCCTCCTTTTTATTTTGAAACAGGGTCTCACTAAGTTGCTGAGGGTCAGGCCAAGTGGCTGAGGCTGGCATTGAACTTGCAATCCTCCTGTCTCAGCCTCGTGAATTGCCTGGGATTATAGGCGTGTGTTGCCATGCCCAGAGAATCTTTTCTCTTCATACACTAGAACAAAGATAACAGCAGACTATTTTAAAACTAAAAAAAAAAAGACATAGTAGCACACACCTATAATCCCAGTTTTTCAGGAGGCTGAGGTGGAAAGATCATAAGCTTAAGGCTAGCCTCAGCAACTTTGCAAGACCCTGTCTCAAAATAAAATACAGAAGGCTGGTAATGTACCTCAGAGTAGAATGCTCTGGGGTTCAATCCCCAGTCCCACAAAAAGCAGGAAAAAAAGAAATAATCTGGGGCATATTCGTTTTTTTTTTGTTGTTGTTGTTGTTAAAACAAACACAGATACAGTTTTTATAACACTTATAATAGGAAATAAATATTTTAAAAAATAGCCCAGTCGAACAAATTTATAAATATATTTAGAAACAAAAATAGCTAACATTAAGGCTGGGGTTGTGACTCAGTGATTGAGTGCTTGCCTAACATATGCGAGGCACTGGGTTCGATCATCAGCACCACATAAACATAAATAAATAAAATAAAGGTATTGTGTCTAACTACAAAAAAAAAAAAAAAAGGCTAACATTCACTGATTACTTATCACATGCTACCTCTGTTCCAGGATCCTTTAGTTAGCCATATCTATGAACATATAAGTCTTCCAAGTATTCATTTAGGAAAAAAGGAATAGAAATACAGGAAAAAGAACACAGAAGAGGTCAGAGGGGAAGGATAAAGATCCAGATGGAAAGATAAAAAGAAGCATAAAGATACATGAACCTGTTCAGAGAGAAGCTACTCCTTGGAAGAGATCATCCTATGGATGGACTCATCATATGGATGTCATTTTAAAAACTATGTTGAGCTTCACAAATCAGACACACCTCTTAGTATTTGCTTTATTAGGCCAAATTAAATTCAGTCAAGGACAGGAAGGCCCCATCTTGCCCTCCAATTTGCCTCCCCAGTTCTCATCATGGAAGAGCAGAGGGAGAAGAGGTGTGGGTCTGAGCTGAGGGGCAGGTGGGCTATGGACCAAAATGCTGCCATAAAGGCCTCTCTACATTTTCTACAAAACTATTACTGGTGGGTCTGATATGGGTAACCATCTGATTTCCCAAGGTACACTTACCTCTTGCTCTGTGAAGAGGATGTCAGTATAGCATAACTGAAAAAAAAGAAGGTCATTACCATCTGAATTCAGACTCCTCTTCCACATACCAACCATCAATCACTGTTCCTCAGCACCTCCCAGCTGGGGCTTCTGCCCCAGGAGAACAGATGAAAACAGTAGGGTGTCCCCACAGCCATTCCAGACAATGAGACCAGTGCCCACTGAGCTGGAAAATGTTCCTTGATGTGTGGAGTCCTTCCCCCCACCCCACCCCACCCCCACCTTTTGGGAGGGAGTCATTGAGGACCAGGAATGGCTGGAGAGCTAAATTTTATCAAATACACTTCTATCTTAAGAGTGGTAAAGGGAGACACATGCCAGCCTTCAAGGAACCCCACATGTCAAAACAGTCAATCTGGCGGACTGAACATTTATTGCACTGAGACTTGCTGCCACAGTTGGCCTCATTCACAGGCATTTAAATTTACCATGAAAACAACAAGGTCCAATTGTATGATATTTATAGAGCAGCCTATTAATACTATGACAGGAAAGAACAGACTATAAAAGTCAGGATATATCATAACTGAGGAGGGATCCCAAGTGCAGAACAGATCATCTAAAAATACTGCAGGTTAATATTCTCTTTGCCTGAGAAAATTGAAATCATTTTCTTGTAGCCTATTAATAGAGATTACAATTATAAAGCAGTACTCCGTAGGTGTCACTATTTATAAAGAGTGGGAAGGGTGAGGAAGGGGAGGGAGAGACATCTTTCTGTATTTTGAATGATTCATTCTAAACCCTCAATAGAAGTTCTACTTACATCCTGGTCATAACGCTTTCTGATTTCCGGGTGTGTCTGCTCTATTAAACAATCTACAAAACATGTCTAAAAGGGAAGAGAAAGTTATAATCTACCAAGTGCAAAGGAAAATGAAAATCTACTGTGACCTCCTCCCAGAGCTCCTAACACACCATGTAATTTAGGGATAAGGAGAGGAAGAGGGGAACAAGGAGTATTATGGGACAACAAATGATTAACACGAAGCCACAGGATTATTTTTAAATGAAAGATGAAATCTTTCCTGGACAGGCATCCCCCAGTAAATGAAAACTTATAAAAATCAAAGTAAGGCTCAATTTCCCTTTTTCTGTCCAGATGTAGACACAAGGCTTAGGCATGCAAGTAGCTTAGGAACAGGTTCCACCTGCTACTCAGAAAAGCTAGAATTTCATAGCAGTTTCATAAGAGGCACATGTTGACCCTGTCCCCCTTCCCCCATCCTGGTCCCCAAGTCAGGATGTCCAGGTTTATGAACTCAAATCTCCACCTCTGTGACTCCGAGGGCTCAAAAGATGAGCAGATACAAAAAGAAATCCTGTTCTAAGCTGAAAGTTCTCCCACCTTGCCATGGTGGAGATGGCCACAAAGGGTCACATTTCTGATGAGCTCCGAGTTATCCATAAGATCTGCCAAGAAACTGAAAGAAGAAAGAGAACAAGAAAAGGGGCGTTGGCATAAGTTTTCAAGTGGAGAATAGTACAAAGGTGTTTCGGGTATTTTTGGCCAGAAACAGCTTTCCAACCAACTGGAGAATTCTCAGACAGAATGTCTACATCTACATAGTTCTGCCTCTGTGAACGAAACAGATTTATCCATGAGATGACACAATCTGGGAATGAAATATCTTGGGGATTTCAACAGTCAAATAATGAGATTAAAAAAAAATAGAGGAAAAAGAAAACCAAATACCTGAACTAACACAGCTCCATGAGAACTGTCTCTTTAAAAAGCTTTAGGCTAGGGTTGTGACTGTAGCTCAGTGGTAGAGCACCTGCCTCACATGCGTGAGGCACTGAGTTCGATCCTCAGCATCACATAAAAATAAACAAATAAAGATATTGTGTCCATCTACAACTAAAAAAAGAATACTAAAGCTTTAGGCTACACTGATAGCCCACTGATGCCAGGAGGACTTAAAATCATTTGGGAAGCTTCTTTTGGAATTGCTGTTGGAGCAGTTAACAGAGCATTAAAGAAAACCCCTGTCATTACTGATGTTGAGCCCAGGGGACTTCCATTCTGGTCATAACCAGCACTGTCTTTCATATTTATCACCCATATTACTTATGGCAAGTAGCCTTTGGATGACTATGGCATTTTTTTAAAAAATATTTTTTAGTTTTAGGTGGACACAATATTTTATTTTCATGTGGTGCTGAGGATCGAACCCAGTGCCTCATACATGCTAGGTGAGCATGCTACCACTTGAGCCACATCCCCAGCCCCTGACTATAGCTTTTTATGTGGCTCAAAGATCAGAGATTTTAAAAATCACCACTGAGAATGCAAAGGAATATAAAGCAAGTTTTTTTTTAACATTTTCAGTTGTTGATAAACATATAATTTCATGTATATATGTATGTATGTATGTATATATGTGGTGCTAAGGATAGAACCCAGTGCCTCACAAGTACTAGGCAAGTGCTCTACCTCTGAGCCACAACCCCAGTCCTGAAGCAAGTTCTTAAAGCTTCTGAAGGGTTGTTTTTAAAATGTCTGAATGATGGCAGGTAAGCTGATTGTTTCAGAAGGTTCCCTACTTTTTTTTAGAAGTATAAGAACCCCCCCCCCGCCCCGCGTTTTTTGTGCTTGGGATGAGATTCTATTTAAAAACAAATAAAAAATAGTTTCATTACCTAATAGTGAGTCACAAGCACTTCAATACATGAGGACCTTAGAATTGCATTTTGTCAGTCAAAACGTTTCCAAATACAGTGTGCACACAAAAAGCTAAACCCTTCTACACACACTCCACTGTCTTGTACCCTCCCTTTCAAAATAAAAAGCATTCAATTGGTCCCAAAATACTAAGCAGTCTTACTGAGTCAAAATTAGCTCTGGTGGCCACAATACTGATAATTATAATACCCCTCTCTGTTTCAAAGGCTGGCTTCCAAGAACAAATTAAAGGTGTGGAGGAAGAGGGAAACAGAGATTTGGATGAGGGCCAAGAGAAAAGTTAAGATTGAGCTTACATATCCCAGTAGCCAAATAAACTGAGGGAAACTGTGACAAATTATGAAGAAATGCTGCCACAATCCACTAGCTACTTAAATCAAATACAACCTTCTTTCTGTCTCCATGAAAAAACAAACCCACACTGCTTCTACAGAGAAGTTCAAAGATCTTATAACTTACTCCATTTCATACACCGTGACAGGTAATGTCTGCTCCATCAGGGTGAACTTCTTGGTTTTCACTGGCTTAATAATGGGTTCTAAGGGGGGGGGGGGGAATGAAAAAGGTTATGATGTGCAAGTAGGCATAAATCACAAAAATACAGACCCCTATTTCATCAGACTGAGCTTTCAGAATGTATGATATAGAACATCTATTTTATTCTTAAGAATCACTCATGTTGAGAACGTTCTGGAAATGCTGTTTGGCACGTGACAGTGAAGGATCTCAAATTGTGAACTGAAGAGTTTGCACTCTATTTGGTGGGAGGAGGGGGAGAAAGGTACAGATTAAGGTTAATATCTGTTCAAAATCTCTCCTTACAGATATAAATGCAATTACTTTCCAAAACTTATAAGAAGTGGACAAATAAGCACTGTGAAGATTAGTAAAAGGGGTTGGGACTACTTAGATAGAAGAACTTATCAGAACACAGAGAGAACTTAATAATGGCCTTTAAGCATCTGAATAGGAATTAGACAAAAAAATAAAGCTTTTATGCTTAGTAATCAGACAAAAGTTTTGATGACTATTCAAACAGTGTTAATTGAATCTTAATCCAGAAACAGTACCGGAAAGTAGTAAAAAAAAAACTGATCAGTTCATTCACTGAACTTTAAGATCTGTTGAAGGTTACAAAATGAAATGTTCATGTTTGGATGTCCCCCTCACATCCAGCGCCCTCTGCTGTACCTGTGAGAGGCTGGGTGTCCTCTTCCTGAACGATGGTCTCCACCTCAGGACCATACACCTCCTCTGCGGTGGGGTAATACTTCTTATCCTCATGCAACACCACCTCCATCCCAGGGTGATCGTCATCATGCTCTCCTATATCATCGTCATCCTCGTCATCATCCATCTGAAAGAGAGGAAAGGAGGATATATTGAACAGGCACATCTTTTCTGCTCAATGACTGACTACAGTTGGGGATGGAGCTCAGAGGTAGACCTCTTGCCTAGCATGTGTGAGGCCCTGGATTTGATGTACAACACTATGAAACAAAAACAAAAACTGACTGCATCACATAAATAAAGGTACTGACTTCACATGCTGGTCATCTTTTTATTTCAAGTTCTTTGCCAGTGGGGAGGGTCCACTCCTGCAAGATCTTTCACAAAGAGAACACTATAAGCCAAGGTTATGCCCAGCTCTCGTGCTTCAAATTTGCCCTTTCCTGAATGTGGGCCAATGGTCACAAGTGGATTGAGATTAGGGAAAAAAAAAATGGCTCATTACAGCATACCTTTTTAAACAAACAAACAAAACCAAAAACTCCACTTTCTCCAGCAAAAACCAGGAGGAGGGGTAGGGTTGTAGCTCAGTGGTTGAGCGCTGGCCTCACATGCATGAGGCACTGGGTTCAATCCTCAGCACTACATAAAAAATAACTAAATAGGACTGGGGTTGTGGCTCAGTAGTAGAACACTTGCCTAGCATGTGTGAGGCACTAGGTTTGATTCTCAGCACCACATATAAATAAATAAAATAAAGGTCCATCAACAACAACAAAATAATTTTAAAATTAATTAATTAATTAGACAAAGATATTGTGTCCATCTACAACTAAAAAAATATTAAAACCCAAACCAAAGCAAACCAAAACAAAACAAAAAACCAGGAGGAGCTAGAGAAAGAAATTGAGAACAAGTCCACACCTTTAAAATTTTCACTCAGATTTTTTTGGGGGTAATATTTATTGAGTTATAGATGAACACACAGTATCTTTATTTATATTTATGTGGTGCTGAGGATCAAATCCAGTGCCTCACACATTCGAGGCAAGCACTTTACAAATGAGCTACAGCCCCATTCCCTACAGATTTATTTATTTATACCATAAAGAAGGCGATTAGTTAAGAGATTACTGCAGTAATTTAGGAGAGATGATTGGGGTAGTGGCTTTGACCACAGCAACTGTGAAATTTGCTGGTTTATTTTTTTAGTACCAGAGATTGAACCCTCGGGTGCTCTACCACTGACCTCTACCACCCAGCCCATTTAATTTATTTTGAGACAGGGTCTCACTAAGCTACCTAGGCTGGCCTCAAACTGAAAAATGTTTTCTATTTTTTTTTTCCTTTAGTTGTAGTTGGACACAATACCTTTATTTTATTTATTTATTTTTATGTGGCACTGAGAATTGAACCCAGGGCCTCGCACATGCTAGGCAAACGCTCTACTGCTGAGCCACAACCCCAGCCCCCCAAAAATGTTTTCTAATGAATAAAAATAGATGTGATAAAAAAGAGAAGAGGCCTGAGCAACTGGAGATGGCATTGTATTTAGTAAGCTGAGGAAATCTGTAAGAGCAGATTGGGGGCAGAAGCTCAGAAGCTAAGTTTTAGATATGCTAAGTTTGAGATTCTCTTATAGTTTAAGTTGAGAAGCCAAGTTGGAAGTTGGATATATAGACCAAAGGTTCAAGAGAAAGATGCAGTTTGGAAATATCAATCTGAGAGTTCTCAGTGCACAGAAGCTACCTGATAAGACTTGATGAGATCACCAGGACAGTGAGTGTATGCAGAGAACAGGAAATATCCTACTGAAATGTGGAGGTCAAGGACATGAAGAAGTAGCAAAGACATAAGAAACAGCTAGTGAGGAACAAATCTAGAGGATTCTCTGGAAGCCAATGGAAGACAGTATTTAAGGAGGAGGGAATGGCTGGCTGGATCAGATGCTTCAGGCTTGTCAAATAAGAAGACTAGAAACTGACCTTTGAATCTGTCAGGATAGAGATCACTGGTAACCTCAACAAGAGTAGTTTCTGAGGAGTCAGGGAAGCCAAAGGAAGGAAGTGGGCTTGAGAGAAAATGGAAAGACAAATCAATTTGGAGACAGCCAGTATCAAGAACTCTTTTTTTTTTTTGGTATGGGATTGAACTCAGGGGCTCTCAACCACTGAGCCACATCCCCAGCCCTATTTTGTATTTTATTTAGAGACAGGGGGTCTCACCGATTTGCTAATAAGTGCCTCATTGTTGCTGAGGCTGGCTTTGAACTCGCAATCCTCCTGCCTCAGCCTACAGAGTCATTGGGATTACAGGCGTGTGCCACCCCGCCCAGCCTCAAGAACTCTTTTGAGGGCTGCAGTTGTGGCTCAGTGGTGGAGTGCTTGCCTAGCATGTGGGAGGCCCTGGATTTCATCCTCAGCACCATATAAAATTAAATAAAATAAAAGTATTGTGTCCACCTACAACTAAAATGATAAATAAAAAAAAAAAGAATTCTTTTGAAATGTGCTGTATTGGAAGGCAGAGAAATAGGGAGGTAACTGAAGGGGGTTATAGAGTCAAGGGAGGATTTTAGGATAAAATAACATGACTGTATACTGATAGGAATGATCTAGTAGAGAAGGAAAACTGATGATGCTGGAGAGGCAGGGGAGAATTGCTGAGTGAAGGTCTTGAGTGATGAGAAGGGACAGGATCTAGTTTCTAGTAGAGAGAAACATAAATGAATCATCCACAAGAAAGAAAGGCAGGCATTCTATATGGGTACAGACCAGGGAGGTAGGTAGATATAATGGTGGGTTCTTGTTTTCCTTCACACAAATTCTACATGCCAACCTCTTTCTTAAAAAGAACAAAAAACCCTCCAGTGGTGAGCTGACTGGCTACCTCCTACCACCTGCACACT